TCCATCCATCCATTCATCTACCCATTCATCTACCTATTTGTCCATTCATTCATCTATCCATTCATCCTCATACAAATTTATTTATCCAAATACCTATTCATTCATTCTTTCTTTCATTTATTTATTATTTAATTCTTTTTTCTATTCTTTCACTCATCCATCAATTGATCCATGTCATCTATTTATTCGATCTTAGAGGAATCCCTTGGTTAAATATATCTTTCAAATGCTTATACTAATCTGTATTCCAATTGTGTGTTTAGAGTATCATTGGATATGCTATCAGTACAAGCCAACACTGGTCCAAAATGGAAAGACAAAATCCCCAAAGCATTTTGGCGTGGTAGAGACAGCAGACAAGAAAGACTAGATCTAGTGGTCATGGGTAGAAAGAAACCAGAGCTCTATGACGTAGCTCTGACAAACTTTTTCTTTTTCCCTTATGATGAAAACAAATATGGTCCCAAGATGAAGCACATATCATTTTTTGATTTCTTCAAGGTATAAATATTTGGTATATGAAGGAATCTTGAAAAGTAGCCGTACCTTTGCAAAGAGGAGGGTATGTGGAGGGTACGTACCTTTGCATCAAAGCAAGACAGACGATGAGCTTGCAATGAAAGAGACCTGTTTTTAACACCTTGGACAATTATTCACATGTCTGAAACATTGCAAAACAGGTCTCTATAATTGCCAGCCCACGGCCCGGTTACCTTTCAAGATGGCGCAGGGAACTGTAAGAGGAAACATTGCAAAACTTAACAAACTGTTGATAACTCTAGTAATATCTGTCCTTTGATCCACTAGTGGAAGAATACTACTACAGGTAGCCCAAGACCTTATGTGTGCATTAAAACTTCAACAATTATATTTGATTATTTACTTATTTAATGCTTTGTCTTTGCAGTGGAAGTATCAAATAAACATTGACGGCACAGTAGCTGCATACAGAATGCCATACCTTATTGCCGGTGATTCAGTAGTGCTTAAACAAGACAGCAATTACTATGAGCATTTTTATARAGACCTCAAACCATGGGAGCACTATATCCCATTCAAAAGAGACCTCAAAGACTTAGAGGAAAAGCTTCATTGGGCCATTGATAATGATGACAAGGTAAGAATTGGGATTTTATACACCGAATTGAAATATGCTGACCAATTTGAATAACATTACTGTTCTGCACTGACTTGCAACTGACTAGCCTCATGTTCAAGTGGAAACATAAAAGCGTGTCCCCATGGGAAGCATGGGTGGCGTAGCGGTGAGAGTGCTTGCCTCTCACCAATGCCACCTGGGTTCGAGTCCCTATTAGCTCGGTGTTGTATCTGAGTTGAGTTGTTTGTTGTTTCATTCCTGTGCTTCAAGGGTTTTCCTGGTTCTCCAGTTCAAAAGAGATAGATCATCCATTTATCTATTCATCCATCCATCCATCCATCCATCCATCCATCCATTCATACCTCCATCCATCCCTCATTCATTCATTCATTCATTCATTCATTCATTCATTCATTCATTTATTTTTGCTTTCTGTTTTCATGCCTCACCCCCTCCCTCCCACAACGATTTTCTAAGAGACATGGTACTGCATTTTATTAATCCTATTTATTTATTTATTTGGTCATGTATGACATACCATTCTTATGACATCCATTTTCTCCGTCTGCCTTTCAACTAGAAAAAATAGGAAAAATATGACCACACCTTCAGTGGAATTCTTATCTTGTTGGAACATGTCTTTCAGTCATGTAAATCTTCTTTTAACATGCCTTCCAGGCTCAGAAAATTGCACAACAAGCACAGCAGTATGCGAGGGACCACCTGCAAGCTATAGATGTGTTTTGTTACCACTGGGTGTTATTTAGGGTGAGTCAGTATAATTTATTACATACACCATAATCACATCTCTAAAAGATGGAAGGCAGAATGGTGGTGATAAAAAAGCAAGTTTAGTTTTTATTCCCCGAAAGGTATATTACATCTATTGAACATCTATTAATATGTCTCTTCCTGTGCAAATTAGGGAAGCACCGGTGGCGTGCGCTGCTAATGCGCCGCCTCTCACCAATGCGGCCCGAGTTCGAGTCCTGCCGATCTCGATGTCGTATATGAGTAGAGTTGTTTGTTGGTTCTCTCCTGTGCTTCGAGGGTTTTTCTCCRGTTTTCCTTCCTYCTCAAAAATCAACTTCTAAATTCTAATTCGATCTTTRGTCTTTCACCTAGTTTGGAGCCTAGCTATGTTGTTATTGTCCCACACTGTGATACAACAGCGAAAGCTTAGTAGATTTTTTTAGATTAGAAATTATCGAAGAAGGATAAAAACGTCTTTAATTTAATCACGCAGCATGGTTCCTATCACACCAGCAGTTTGATTAAAAAAGACATTTCCAGCCTAGACACAAATATGTCATTCTGATATAAAAGAGTTCAGGCCACGCTTCCTGGTTTGTGGTCAACTTCACATGCGTCGCTTAGGTAGATCGAGCCGTTGATAAATACATCAAATTATTATTATTATTATTTGCCCCACAGGAATACGCCAAAAGACAAACAACCAAACCCGTTATACACAAAGGCATGGAGTACATCAAACAACCAGACGATAATGATAATCGATGTGATTGTCTAAGAAAAACAAAAGTAAGATCTACTACGTCACTGTTATCAGTACAGATATCAAACAATCTCGTAAAAAGGACTCGACCGCAAGACGAAGGTTCGAAGGCGTTTCCTATCCGTACTCGTCTTCAAGCCTGTCGTTTTCACTAGGGTGTTAATTCATGGCTTTCGCAAATAAACGAAAGGTGCAGTTTAATACGATCTGCGAAGCTGTGCATCTTGTTGCTTTGCAAAAAATAGAAATCCTTTGTCTCTGATATTTACAGGTATTTATTTTTGCGGGCTGAATGGAAAATAACTGGTAATGTTTTCTCTAACCTGCCAATTTAATGTTATTGAATGTAAGATTACGGATAAGACGCGTAGATTTTGTAAAAACACGAAGTTTCGGCTATGACAAAAATAAAGTAAAGGTAAAGTACCTATATTTAACGTTGGTAGTTCCTTCAGTTGAAATTTAATTGCTATATGGAAGCCGACGGTGCGTACTTTACCCCCTCTCTCCATCAGTGCTCTGTCTTAAGAGTATTCAAAGCTGAAGCTACACGGATTAGAGAGAAGTCGAAACAGACGTGGAGATCCTAAGGATCGAACCGTGGACCTCAAGCTCTGTTAAGGTCGCGCACTAACCAACTGAGCTGCGCCTGCTCCTGCAAGTGACTATAGCCTGCATCAAATCTACGCGTTTTATTCTTTTACTTACAACAATCAATAGAGAGTTTTAGACATTTTCCTGTATTTCACTTTACCTTTTACAAGCTTTCTCATCACACAAATATTCTTTTGTTTATCTACTGCTTGGAGATGTTTGCAATAGACTACTTGCACTAACAGGTCACGTGACCCCATCCCCCTTAAAACGAGCAAATGAGTCAATATGAAATCCAGAAATGAAAAGAGCACCTCTAATTTAGTAAGAGAGTTTCAGCTCGAAATGTTAACTATGGAAGAAATGATATTAAATATAAAATCAAATATTTTACAAGGATTTGTATGGGAAAAGTGTTGGCTGATAAGCTTGTGCCATCCAGCGCATTTTCCCATACAAATCCTTGTAAAACATTCAATTTTATATCCAATACCATTTCTCCTGTTTCGCTTATTATAAGTTGAAACTCCGCCTCCCTACTAATGCCGAGATGCTCTTTTCATTTTTTTATTYTATTTTGACAAAACTGCTCGTTTAAAGAGAGGTAGGGTCACGTGACCTGTTAGTGCAAGTCGTCTATTCCTATTCAGTAATTTAGAATATTTTTTAACTGGTCAACTGACGTTTCACGTTTGATATGAACGTACATATTAAGCTTCAATGTAATGGTTTTGTAGGAAAATTTTGTACTGCTTTATTGATCATATTGCCGACAATTAAATGAGACCGCGTTGTCTTTGCTAAATCTTACTATCGTAAAAGTGTGGGCCGCGTTGTTTAAACGATGATATACAGACATATTCTCATATGATATACAGACAGTACATGAGAGTGCATCGTCTCACTTTTGATTGGTTTAGAGTATAAGCACACCATTTGAAAGTGACGACTTCGAGTTTTCCCACTCATGATAGTTCGACTTTAGAAGGAAAAAAAAACCGCGCTTAAAAAAATTATTTTGATATCTTGAGAAAGAAAGAAAGAAAGAAAGAAAGAAAAGAAAAGAGAGAGAAAACAATTTTAAAATGTTTCTTGCCCAACCTCAGGATTTTGTTCGCATGGTCTTTCTAGATTAGTCTTTGTTTTTATTTTAATTATTTCATAGCTTGTTTGGCATATAATAACTCGTTTTTTATCCATTACATCTAGATGACTGGTAGATTCTTTTTTGATAATTCCCCCCTGTACTTATTAATCCTATGATGCGAAACCATTACYCCTTGCCAAGATTTTAATGAGAAAATCACCTAATTTTTTCACTTACAAGTTATATCTTGTCCGACACTGAATCTGTCTCACGTACTAACCTGTTATCACCTGTTTCCACAGAATCGTGACGAACTTTGATGAAGGAGGAGACGCGAGCGCGTCCATTAACCGATTATCCCACTTCTGACACCATAATGGCTGTCAACGAAGCGAAAAATATTTTTCTACATGAATTTTTAACTAATTACTCTTGAAGAGAAACTTCTGATAACAAATATTCTAGAACTTATATTGAATGTTTTAATTTCTAAAAAGGCTTTTGCAGAATACCCCAAAATTAATGAAATTATATTGACATTTGTTTCCTGCTTGTATGTAATGCATGACGTTAATCTGAGTGTGACATKAAACATTGAATGTTTTCGTCAAATAAACGACAAAGTAACTTTTTCTGCGTTGAAACTATTTGATTTAATACGTTCTCTAAAGGAAAAAAGTATGAATGAAWGAATGAAAGGAAGAGATAATTTTAGTCCTCTTAAAAGAATATTCTTATATTCTTTTTAGTCCTCTTAAATTATATGATTTCTTAAACGTTAAAAGGTGTTTTGCCACTGATTTGGCAAGTTATATTCAAGAATTTTCGAAATTTCAACAATCTYTCAATTTTATTCGGACTGCGTCACATCAACGGAAATTTCGAGGGAGTTTATGACGTAATCCAATGCTAAACATCTGACATCAAGCCGAGAATTTTATAGAGAAAACTTGTTTTTTTCGTGAAAGTTTGGGTAAAATAATTCAAAAATTCAGTAGCAAATTCACCAAAGAAGCCAGAAAAACTTTTTATTTTTTGGAGGTAATAGAATATCAAAGAAAAAAATTGGTTAAAATAACTTGAAGATGAGGAAGAACGTCATCGTGTTCGGGGATATTGTTTTGTACACAGCGTTGGCGGGGGATCTAACAGCAAATTCTCAAACAAAATTTAGTTTTTAATCAAGGAGTCCTAAATAKCTATTCAGAACGCGGAAACAGTGACTACGAGATGTTGTGCTTTAGGACATTTCGCTTCGTTTCTGGTCAACTGTTAAATCGGYCATGATGATATCGGAATCGGAAATGAAAGAAAACTATTTCCGGTCCATGATGATTGATCGCCGAGAAAGACTGGATCGAGATAACAATTTTGTGCTTGCTCAGGAACGAGGCTATTTAGAATCGCGGGCTCGGGATTACGAGTGCGGTTTCCAATGGGCATGCGCAGTGCCTATTTCAGCTCGACAAAGCTGTGTAATGGCGACGGATCAAGAGTCGAATAATCTCGACGAATTTGATTTAGAGCAAGTTATAAATTGGGAAGAACACAATTACGCTTCAAAGGTCTGTTAGTTTAAGTCTTAAGGTTATTCTAAAGCGAAAACAGCCACCTTTTGCCCGAGAATAAATCCAGTGAAAACGTTGATAAACSGGTCGCTCTTCAGTGTACAAGAGCAAAGAAGTGCCTAGTCGGGYACACATGAATGAACTGGCTTGGCCAACAAGAGCTTAACTTCGAGCTCAAAGACTACAATGAGTTCCTATTGAGGAAAGAGTAGATCTTTGTCCGACTCTTACAAATAGAGCGGCAATGATGCGAAATCCAGGTGAAAATATAGTCACAAAGGAATGYCAAGTGACCAATGAGATATGCAAATAAGCTGTGGTTTGAACAACGGTTGTCGCGATTCATTTGAGCTTCATGCTCTTGAGATCTCGAAATTCTTCGAGTTTCTCTAGATCCTTGATAGCTTGTGTAATGTCGTTAGCTCGAAATTGGCGAATTCTGCCATTCGGTTTGGATTCGGTTCGCATTAAATATTTGTTACGCGGATCGGGTTATGAAAGATTTAAGTTACATTCGCGTATGAAAAATTCACCTCGGAAATTGGCCTCTGTCGCGATTATTTTACAAAATTTATAAAATGAAACTGAAAAGTTTTAATAATACTTTACTGAAGGCAACCAGAAGAAAGATAAATAATTCGTACTCTATTTGGAAGCCTTTTATTTAAGTTATTAAGTTTCATCTATCGGGTGGTGTCAAAAAACGCGACGTATTTAATGTATTTCATTTCTGCTTAATAACATTTTTTCTTAGTTAATTCTCGGGCAAAAGGTGGTTTTTTTAAAATTTTTATTCGTAAAAATATGGTTTTCTTTTATCTGTGATTGTTCTGAAAAAAACGTCAGAGGAAAATACTTTGAAACGAAGGTAACGCGATAGTTAAGAAATGAATTATGAATTTAAAGACACTTAGTAGGCTGAAATGTATTCACGGGTAAGTTACAAATTTAGTTATTCTTAACAACATCTTTCAACGATCTTTTTTGCGTTTTCTGTCTTTTTTAACATACTTTCACATTATTTGGTCTTTTTCAAAATTTTAACTGTTTGCAAATATTAATTTTGCTTTGACTTTGAAAGGGTATTAGTTATGCCCATATATGGTCATAGTAAGTGGATATGTTATGAAGGTTACATCCGGCTTGTCGCCGCGAGCTATTTTCACGCTGAAAATAACCAAAAACTTCTTTATTTACATTGATTAAAACCGAAAGAGTTCCCTGCGTGCGAAAGCAATAGGAAATAGTATATTACGAAAGTGGCCTTTTATTCTAGATTTTTATATGATTAGATAACATAAGGTTATCACGGCTACCATAGTGCATTCATAAAAAAGATTATAGATTATCAAGGTCATGTTTAGTATTTTTTCTCAAAAATTATTTTATGTGTGCACTGTTCATAAAAGTGGAGCAAATTACACCTATTTAAAGTGATTCTAAGGTTTAACTGTGTTTTTTTTTTTATAAATTGTTTTCTAAATAGCAAAAGAAAAAAAAAAACGAAACAGTATGTATCTTAATTATGATCAAAGAAGACTTTATCTGTTCTTTGTTCAGCATGACTTTCAAGAGGTTTCGATTAATTTATGCTATTTATTCTTTTATTTATTTTATGCCTTATTTTTGAATTTTAATTTAATCCAAAATAAATATGTTATTTACTGGTTAGGAGGTCGGGATAGGGAAAAACTGTGCCTGAGGTCTTGAATATACATTTTCAAGACCGAAGGCACAGTTTTTCCCTATCCGGACAAACTATAGGACACTAAATAACTTTTTTTCCCGTATTTTATTTTTACTCGTTTTTGTTTTGTTGTTTAGTGGCCAAGGATACTGGACTGCAACCCTCGGCAGATACTGACAAAATACCCCTTGCTCAAACTGCCAATCAGAACACACGATTTTTTAGGTTACCGGTCCAAAAAAAAAAAAATCAAACGATCTTTTAGTTAATGAAAAACTGTAATTTCAGTAGCTTAATTTCTTAAAAGTAAAAATTGGAGACGGGGTTCTTTATGTAATATGTACAGTATGAGTGGCCGTTTTGTATCCGATATACAAACTCGAGGAGTAGCTGAAAGTTTGTATATTGGATACAACACGGACACTCGAACTGTAAATTACTTATCAAACGTCTAGGGGTTAGTTCCTTTGTGTTTTGCTAAACTTTCCAAGATAAAAGTGAATCTGGCCAAGAAAATCCATCTTAAAGTTTATGCAAACGAACATGATTCTGTATCTGATTTACAAAACTCTTCATGGTGGTGATTTCTGTTGTGTTTTCCTCAAGAATTATTAATGAGTTTGATAAATGCTATTTCAATGCACTTTAAGTTAYCATAGATTGTTTGAAAGGGAAGGTTGAGGATTATTGACTTCAATATAGTGATAGTATTCCTCTTTTAAAGAATGTGTGTCCCTGATTTGTATAAATGAAATGCTAAGAAAATTGAATAATTACTTTGCCAGAGCACAAAAGTAAACAAGCATACTATAGTTCTGAAGAATAGATAGTATTTGATGCAGAGTTTCAAAAATCGAAAATATAAAATAAAAATTATGTTGAGCAAGCATAAYGTTTGAACCGAGCCTAAACCCCTTATAAATATTTTTTCTTTTCAGAATTTAGAAATCCAGCAATTACCTGACTTAGACCTATCAACAGACCTTCCAGTCAGTGCTCCTTCAGCATTGCCTGGCACATCCACCACAGCAAGCCATGCTAGACAATTATTACTTGGTAACCAAGTTATTGGATCCCACACACAGCCAACAAGGGAACAAAATGCTTCCATCATGGCTGGGATCCCACAGGTTAGTTTGAAATGTAAAATTTATCTTAAAGTTGTTTTTATTTTTCAAAAGTTTATAGTCTTTCCATTTATTAGAACGATACAAAAAAGCTGTTTTTACAGTTAATCAAATTTAATGGTGTTGTTATTATTTGTTATTGAAACAATACAATAAAACATTTCTCATGAGATATTCTCATCTAGTTTTGAGAGAGATTTACCTGGCAACAAACTTATAATAGGACCATCTTCATAAAATTGGAAAGGTCAATTAATTGGAAGGAAACCATTTATGGACATTAAGAGAATATTGCCAGTTGCTATAAACTCTTGAAATAGTCCCTTTCAGTTTTGTCAATCAAGTCTGCCGGTATATGTTCAATTGTTAAGTCAATTTCACTTCAATTAACCAATCAAATTTGTTGTTTTACAGGTATCCACCTCCTCAGTCCTTAACCCAGTCTTCCCACAAAGTGCGAGCTGTATGATAACAGACATACGAGATGAGCTGACACGCTCTCGGGTACCACCTTCTTCCAGACATGTGGAACCTGCTTTCCCCTCAGAGAACTTCGATCTTCCTTCAATCAATCACCAGCCACCACTTGTGTCATCCGGATCACAGTCCCTGAACTATTTGGCTAGCCATAGAAGCCAGGTCGCAAGCATGCAAGTACCTCCTGCGCAGCAGTTAGGACATGCTGGTCATGCTATGCCGAGGCATAGGTCACTGCATAATGGTATGCAAAGCTTTAACCAACCAAATTTAACTTCAAGTTTGCCAAATTTGCCTGTTAATGAGCCTTTGGAAAATGATGATAATGGAGATTCTATTGACCAGTTGATTGAAGACATTGTTGATCGAGATATGCCACAAGGTGTTGGTGATCCTGTTGTCTTTTCCTCAACTTCCCATAGGGTACCTCTGAGTAATCAGCACCAGCATCAGCATCAACCAATACATCATGTAATGACTCAGAATCCAAGATCTAGCAGCCCAAGCCAAATGGCTGCCATGGTACGAAGTCCTTCCTCTGCGGCTAATGGGAGTCCACTAGCTGGTGGTGGTAGTCAAATAGCCAGTAATAAGCCTATAGGTACAAGCATGCCACATGCCAATAGTCCATTATCACAGAACCCAGCAAGCCCAATCAAAGCACCAAGTCCTCAGGTGGCACAATATAAATCATCTATACCTCTGCGAGCATCAAGAGGAAGCAAGTCAGTCAAACTACCAATCAGCAACAATCAGCAACAACCTCATTCACCTCAAAACATGGCCATTGGGGTTAATCAAGGTCAAGTTCATAGTCCACGCCCAACACCCCAGAGAAGCCCACAGCAGCCTGGGAATGCCAATAGTCCTCCCTCTACTGCTAGTTCCATAATGTCTCAGAACATTTCTTCACCTTTGGCACAGATGTCCCCTCTTTCTTCAGGTACCCCTCAAAATATCATAATGACCATGGGTGTGCAACAGTCACCTGTAGCCTCGCCAATGAGCATTTCATCACCCCAGAGTCAGAGGCCCTCTAGACAGGCATCACCTGGATTATGTAATATAGGTTCACCAGCACCTCCTGTGGCAGCGCAAGAGTTTCCCAAACTTCAGACTGGAGCCTCTTTAACCCAGTCCTACATGACTCAAGCAAATACTGCAAAGCCATCAGTACCAAACCAAACCGGTTTACAGAATGGAAATAACTTGCGACAGGCTAATATCACTCAGGCAAACGTGGTAAGGACTCAAGGGAGTGCGCTACATCAGCCGGCTGGCAGTATGAGCGCACAAGATACAAACAGAGGAAATATGTGGACACAAAACCCATTTCTTTCAACCCAGCAAGTTCAAAGACCTGTTAACAATGTTGTAACAGCTGCACAAGCAAGTGTTTCATCTCCGAGACAGTCRGAACATCTATCCCAGGAGCAAGCTGACGTAAACATTTCTTCAAACTCTGCAGTTTCTGAAGAAGCACGTAGTTCTATTCCCCTAAGTTCTCTGAGTCAAACTCAACCTACGTCAACATTTGATACAGCTACTGTTTTACGAGGGCTCAATGCTTTGAAAGGAACTAATGTCATACCTGTTTCCTTAAAACRGGGTGTCAATAACCAACAATTACAAGCAGTGAAGCTTCCTTACACTGCCGCAAATATTGACTTATTGAAACAAGCAATGTTGTTGAAGGCGGCAGGGCAAGGAGGTGTGGGACAAACACCAGGAAAGCCATTGGCTATTAACACTTCTCAAGGACAGGTTTTCTACTATATTTTACCTAAGGGAACCAATATTGGGTCTGGTTCTGGTTCAGCGGCACAAAATACTTCAGGACAACAATTGAAAATGGTCTTTATTAATACCAAAAGTAGTTCAGCAAATACTTCTGTTAAGACTGTTAATTCTACTGTTGGTGGAACAACAAAACCATCTGCGCAAGTTTTTTCGCTGAACAACAATATTAACTTTTCTACGTCAAACAGCTTAGTGACTAGTGCAGGTGTTACACAGCCTGTTGTATCGTCACTTTCGTCATCGTCAAACCCAAGTCCACAGATGTTGGGCACATCTTTGGTGGCTAAATCTCAGGGCCTTCCTACAGTAACAACAGTAAACCAGCCAAGTATTATTGCTACCTCAAACCAACAGCAGCATTCAACACTGGATACTAATCTACTGAATAAGCTAGTGTCTGGTCAAGGTGCCAGTAACATTACTATTCCATCTAATCCTTCATCATCTCAAAATATAAGCACAACCCAAATAACATTTGTTAATGAATGTACTTCTGTTAATCATCTGGTTTCGGCAATGGGAATGAGYCAAATGGCAAGTAATGTCTTCACGACCCACCCAGTCACATTACCAGTTACAACAACTGTTTCCAAGGCAACAGCTATGTCAAGTTCTGCCGAGCCATCAGTTACTGTAGGTGATAGTGATGATAGTGATACTCCGCTTGCAGTAGTTGCTAAAACATTAAAAAAAGCTACTGGGGATGAAAAGAAAAAGAAGAAGAAAAAGAAAGGAGAGAAACGGAAGAAGAAAGACAAGTCTTCTGCTGGTTCTGAAAAGTAAGTTTTTGTCATTTATTCAATAGAAAATTTTGATTAGTTGATTTTTGTACTTTCTTGCTTTCCTTAATTATCTGTATTGTTTGGTCTTGTGGATGTAATTTTTACTCTGCTTTCTGTTGGCTAATTTATTAAACTATCTTATGAAGTAAGAGTAAACAGTGGTGGATCCAGGTTTTGTTTTATGACGGGATACATTTATAATCAGGATAAACTGAGTCAGTACATGAAGTAATTCTCCATAAAAAGATCCTCTGCTCATCTGGGAGGGGGAGGGGAGGGGGGTTGTTTACTCCCTGAACACCTTCCTTAGATCTACCCCTGCTAAAAGGAGGAAAACTCAAAGTCTTTAAGTCAATTTTGAACACAAAAAGAATTCAAAAATTGATTTTGAATCTTACATGCAAGCCCAAGGAATACAGTTTTACCATATGGCTTGTCTTCAATTTGCCATAGCTCAACTCTTCACCAAAATTTATTTTTACCATATTTTCATTTCCTTGCCAGAATATTTCCAGCTTTTCAAATATTCTTCAAGGAAACACAGGCAGCAATCAGACAGCAAAATCCATCTGTAAGTCAAGTCTTAACCACAAGAATTATACATTACTTAATAAGTTACAAGTTACTTAATRCGTGTAAATAGGAAGTTAAATAAACGTTTTCACAAAATGTACTGATTTAGTTAATAGTTTTTCTAGTTCCTTAAAATTTACACCAATATGTAATCTGTGAAATGTTTTGCTAATAGCAGTGTTAAYGATGATTGCTTTTGATATTATAGGCTCAGTTTACTGATGTTACCAAGATAGTACGACAGATGTGGGAAAACCTACCAGAAGACAAGAAAAAAGTATGTTGTAAGCCTTTTTCACTATTCATTTATTGCTCCTGTATTAAAATTTTGCCCAAGGTTTCAGATCATGTTAAATTTTTTGTTTTATGTTCCATTATTATATTGTTAGAAAAGTATGTGCACGCTGATTGATTAAAAACTTGCTTTATTAATAAACAGAGCACAGTGCTGACACCATTTTTGTGCGTGAAGTGCTGCTAGGTCCTGCGACCGCCTTTCTTTTTGCCTAAATGAATTTATAATGAAATAAAATTAGTAATTATATAATAAAATGGGCAAAACAGCTTGCTCCGTTCAGTGATAAAGCACTTAGGAATCTCCATAAGTGCGAAAGAAGTATGAAAAGCACTTGCCTGTGGCTCATGCTTTTACTTACACTTCTTTCATGCTTATGTCACTTCCTGTGTGCTTTATTACATACAC